CCCCCATCTCAGATATGTGGTTTAAACATCTCTTTGTTAAAGGTAAAGGTTCCCCTCGCACATATGTGCTAGTCATTCCCGACTCTAGGGGGCGGTGCTCATTTCTGTTTCGAAGCCGAAGAGCCAGCGCTGTCCGAAGACATCTCCATGGTCCTGTGACCGGCATGACTAAACGCCAAAGGCACCCGGAACGCTGTTGCCTTCCCACCAAAGGTGGTCCCTATTTTTCTACTTGCATTTTTTATGTGCTTTCAAACTGCTAGGTTGGCAGAAGCTGGACCAAGTAACGGGAGCTCACCCCGTTATGTGGCACTAGGGATTCGAACCGCTGAACTGCTGAACTTTCAATCAACAAGTTCAGCGTCTTAGCCAGTGATAACTGGCTGTGAATCAGAGAAGCATGCAAGAGTACTATGAAGTTCTGAGTACTGAATGAGACATAATATTATTTGGTAGTTTCAAGAATGGAATTTAGAAAAAATGGAAGGAAGAAAAAGAAAGTAAAAGTAACTAAAGTCAAATGACAGCAGGAAGCATGAATTTTCTATGAAAAAATGCAGGTAGTCCTTGACTTACAATATTTCACTTAGTGACTGTTCGAAAATACAACAGCAATGAAAAAAGTGACTTATGACCAGAGCCGCGGTGGCGCAGTGGTTAGAATGCAGTACTGGAGGCTACTTCTGCTGCCTGCTGGCTGCCTGCAATTTGGCAGTTCAAATCTCACCAGGCTCAAGATTGACTCAGCCTTCCATCTTCCAAGGTGGGTAAAATGAGGACCCAGATTGTTGGGGGCAATATGCTGACTCTGTAAACTGCTTAGAGAGGGCTGTAAAAGCACTTTGAAGCGGTATATAAGTCTAAATGCTATTGTTATTACTGTTTTTCACACTTATGACCACTGCAACATCCCATGGTCATGTGATTTTCATTTGGATGCTTGACAACTGACTCACATTTATGACAATTGCACTGTCCCGGGGTCATGTGATCCCCTTTTGTGACCTTCTGACAATCAGAGTCAATGGGGAAACCCGGCTCACTTAACAGCCGTGTTACTAATTTAACAACTGCAGTGTTGCAGTGTAATTTCACTTAAGAAATGTGGCAAGAAAGGTTGTAAAATGGGGCAAAACTCACTTAACAAATGTCTTGCTTAGCAACATAAATTTTGGGCTCAATTGTGGTCATAGGTCGAGAACTACCTGTACTAGGAAATATATTCTCATCAGAACAAATGGAAAGTGGATATAGGGACAGAGGATTGGAACAGGCTGTCTGTGATCAGCTAGGAAAGAATGCTACTCTTACCAGAAGCCCCCACCCCTACCCCCCACCCTCGTGTATCCGTCAAGAACAGATAATGAAATAATGATTAGTTTGGAGACCAAATAAATGCTATACGACCGTGATGGCAAACCTATGGCATGCCTGCCACAGGTGGCACACGGAACCATATCTGTGGGCACGCGAGCATTGCCCTAGCTCAGCTCCAGAGCACATGTGCGTGCCAGCCAGCTGATTTTCGGGCTTCTGGAAGTCAGGAAATGGGCCATCCGGAGGGCCTCTGGGGGGGACGGGGAAGGCAGTTTTTGCCCTCCCCAGGCTCCAAGAAAGCCTCTGGAGCCTGGGGAAGGCGAAAAATGGGCCTACCGGGCCCACTGCGTGCCAAAATTGGGGTGAGCGTGGGGGGGCGTGTGCACATGCGCGGGGTGCATTGAATTATGGGTGTGGACACGTGCGCACGCGACTCCCTGCGCTCCTCCCACTTTTGGCACGCGACAGCGAAAAGGTTAGCCATCACTGCTATAGGATATTGTGCCTTGAGCTCTCTGAAGCATTTATCTGAGGTAAAATGCCAGAGAAGTCTGGTGGACTTCCAACCAACAAAACATCCATATCCAAAGAGTAAATGATTCTGCATTGTTCTGGAGGGAAATTTATGTGGTGCTTCCTGGCTTCTGATCTCAGCCTTGTGCTTCCACCATTTTTGAAAATGGCCACCCTCTGCCAGAGAGGATGGAATGGAAGAACTGCTTATGAGACCTGCAGATGACACCAAGCTGGGTGGATTAAAGGGCAAAATGCAGTAAGAAATTAACCTGACAGACTCCAAACTTAGGCCAAATTGCTCAGGATGATGATCAGCTGTGACAAGTATGAGTAAGATACTGCACTGGAGGCAGATTGAAGAGGAACTAAGAATACTAGTAGCCACCAATCATAACACAAACATAAACAGATAAGAGTGTCAGATGACCAATGAAGTCTTGCAATGCATTAACCGATCACATCCAAGTAATAGAAGGCAACAGTGCCATTGTGCTAATTAGGCCACACTTGTGCTGCACTTTAAAACGACATGGGGAAATTGGAGTGGATTCAAAAGAGAGCTGCCAGGATGATAAAGGGGTTTAAAATCCAAGCCCCATGAGGAATGGTTAAAGCTGCTGGGCATGTTTAATTTGCAAAAGAGAGGACTAGGGGGAGATGTGATAGATGTCTATAAATATCTCAAAGACTGTCATTTGCAAGAGGGGCAGACCTCTTCTCTATTGAGACCGGGAACGGCACAAGGACGAGGGGTTGAAATGAAAAGGAAGAAAATCCAGGGTGAGCATAATGCAGGATTTCCCAACGGTAGGAAGGAACTGCTTTGTCAATAGAGCAATCCATCCTGGCCTAGATGTTTTCAAATTAGAGCTGGAAGCTTTCATGGAATGGCTCAGTCGTGGCTTCCTGCCCTGGGCAAGGGCTTGAAGGAGACGCGATCTGCAGCAGCTTCATTGCCAGTTATTAACCAATAACTGCAGAAGTTGGCAGGAATAGCCAGGACATTTTGTTGCTTGAGACAAAGAAAACCTTCCCATTACACATATCCAAGCACAGGTGATTAGCAGTAGGTGGGATCTTACTTCAATCCTTGCTGATGGAAGAACATCCTTCCTCCATCCTTCCTCCATACTCCAAGGTTTAGGGAGCACTAAACAGAGTGCATAACACACAGAGGAGGACTCTAGGGAGCAGATGGTTGGGGAGCAGCCATCATGACCTCCCTCTCTCCTCACTATTCACTGTCTTTCACGACAGGCCTCCAGCGGTTCTGGCCAAGTCATTATTCATTCGAGGTACACACAGTTTGTCACTAGTGGTGGTATTCAGTCGGTTTAGCCTGGTTCAGGAGAACTGGTAGTGGCGACCTGTGGATGGGACAGCCCACCTGCCCAGTCCTATGCCATCCTATTTAGCCAGTCAGAATTTTTACTACCGGTTCTCTGAACTACTCAAAATTTCCGTCAGAACCTGCTGCAACCCACCTCTGCGGAAGGCGCATGCGCAAGTGAAGCACACTCACATTTTCGGTGCGCGGCGAACCGGTGGTAAAATTATGTGAAACCCACCTCTGCTCATCATGAGTTATCTTTCAGCTAAGTGGCTCTCTCCAAATAAAGTGATGGCATATTCTAGAACACACATGCTTTGTCTCCAAACGTGTCCCTGGGAGTAAGCAACAGAATCCATGCTTCATCTGAAGCCTTGAAGCTCTTCGGAGGACACAGAGCCCTTGAGTCTGCAAATCCAGAGTTCAGTACTCAGCCACTTGCTTGTGGAAGGGTGAGATAGCCAGCAGTTTTATCTAGGGAGACTGACCTGGAAAAACCTTTGAATGCAAGGAATATGCTCTGTCATAGGTTACAGCATAAAGGAGCAACTGCCAATCAGAGTATTCAGCACTGAGCTAAGTGGTCCAATGAATTGACTTGTTGCAATAAAGCTTCCTGTGATACGTAGGCATTCAGAATGGAACATTATTGCAAGGAGTGGTGGTGATGGAAGCAGGTTTATTTATGTGTGTTCTTAATGATGTAATTGTTGGAATGCTTACTCAGTTGCAAATTATATTCATCACCCTCTCATAAGTTAGTACATGATTGCAATAAGTTTCCTATCAGTAAGGTATGTCTCACGGACACTTTACGGTGTTGCATAGGATTGCAGCCTAGCCTAAATAGGTTTAGTCTCAAATCAGTTTAATTGCAGTCTTAGCACATTCAAAATCTTTCTTCTTCTTCTACTGAATAATTAATTCACAGAACTAGTTTAATTAGCTATAGGTAAAGTCAGTCACCTTGGAGTTTTGGTGGTTTCCCCAGAAATGGAGTTAGGTCTCCACTTCTTTTCTTGCAGTTCATTTTTTTTTTTTTTGAGCTGTATATAGTTAATGCTCCTTCCCCTTCCTTTCCTCATGTCAAAAGATCAGAGAGGTCAAGTCTCAACATGTTAAACAAGATGATCACTTCATAAACTCGCTTTGAGTGAAACAAACAGGCGGTCGGTTTGACCACTGCGCATTATATAACCAGTGCATGGGCTGCAGAGGCTGGACGTCTGTCAGAAATTCCAAATGGAGGGGGAAGGGTGCTGCCCTAAACTCAGTGATTCCAAACAGTTCCAAGAAACCTAAAGGGAAAGTGGCTGTAGATCAAAGGAACCAAATGGGGATAATTAAAATCCTGTATGCTGCCTAAACAGCTTGCTTTAGGTATGCAGAAGGAGATTCCACCCTCACCTCCCCTTCCTGCTGAAGTGATATGGACCCATTTCTTGTATAGGGGATAAAAGTGAGGGCTAAGAAGCGTCAAACAGATCATGAATGAATAAGTCTGTTTTATAGCCGTCTCTGTGCGTCCTTTCAGAAGAAAAAAACCCAAAGACGGAGATGACTACAGAAAGTGTTCAACTGTCCTAACATTTCGTGACGATTGCCCTTTTGCTTATGTCGCTGTCTCTTTAAGACCTGCTCTCTGAACAGTTGCACAGAAAGGGAGTGACCTCTGGGCTTTGACAGCTCCCCTAATAACTAGCAGAACCCTGGCTCCTCCTGTATTCTTTGATTGGACAGCGGGCCGGTATCCACTTTCCCGATTGGCCAACCGCTTCCCCTGAGCGAACCTTTAGAACTCTGAGACACAATATTCTGTTACATTGTAGCAAAATGGCGACTGTCATTCACAACCCCCTGAAAGCGTAAGTAGGAATCAAAAATGTACATATTCCGCGTGGTTTAAATATGAAAAAAGGGCGCCTTTCCGACGCTCGCTGCCAGACTGAAGCTGGTGTGTCTCCAGACTCCCAGCTGATCTCGGCTCCCTTTTTCTTTTCTTTTCAATATCCTCATTATTATTATTATTATTATTTTGTGCAACACACACAAATCTCTCGCTCGGAAATTAATAAGAATATATATATATATTTGCCTTCTACTTTATTTTTCGGTGGTGACGGGAAAACCCCACACAAGAGTTCGGGGCTTTAAGGAGGCACGGATAAGCGCTTGCAGTTTATTTCCCCCCCTCCCCCGGATTCTTGGCTGCTGGAATTGGCCAGGTTTTTTTTTTTTTTTTACGGATTCCGGAGTGGGTGATCGTGCTTGACAGAGTCCTGTGCGTGGCGTCCGGCTTGGCTTCCAGCGCCGTCCGCACGATGTCCAGCAGCGAATGATCGATTGTGGAAACTGGGTGCATAATGGTTGTCTTGGCATGCAGTCGGACTGCAGTTTTAAGAGTTTTGCTTTTTTTTTTTTTTTTTTTTTTGCAAACGCTCCGGTAGTTGGAAAGGGTTGGACGCGCGAGAGGAAAGGAGTTTGGGTTTTTTTTTTTTGTTTTGTTTTGTTTTGTTTTGTTTTTCCAGGCTTCTGTTGGCTCCCTTTCTATATTGGCAAAAGGGGGCAGCCCGCCCGGATCGAGCATTTATTGAGCAGGAAAAGGAGAAAGAGAGAGAGAGAGAGAGAGAGTTGTGGTCCGAGATGAATAACTCCGGTTCCGTGGATGGTTGCTTTCAATAAAGCGCAGGAAGTCCGGCGCTCTGTTTTGCATACCGTTCGCTTTTCGCTTTTCTAAGTCAGGCGATCCCACCCTCGGCAGGCTGTTTAGGAGAGCAGTCCCGGGATGGATAGATTCGATAGACCTCTATATAGACCTCGCGGGTGGATGCAACCGAAAGCAAACTCTGGCTTCTCGCCAGAAGTCCTCCAACCAGCGCAGGTGCAGGTGGACCGGGGTGGTGATGGGGGGAGGTGTTGCCAAAGCAGCCAAGGGACGGGGGTGGGGGGGTGTGTGTGGGAAAGCTCGCCTTCCCTTCGGGATCAAAGGTGGGCACTTAAAGTCTTTCTTTAGAGAGCCACCCGATTTCCCAGGTGGTCTTGCAGGCACGCATCGGTGGCTAATCCCCCAAAGCATTACGGAGGGTGGGGTTTGGCACACGGGTCCAGAGGCGGCTGCTTGCGGACGGATGCACGCGCGCGAGCGCGCTCCCGCGCGTGGGTAGGCACTCTCGCTTTCTCTCTCTCTCTCTCTCCCCCGCCCCCCCTCCACTACCTTGACATAGGAGTTTTGCTCGTGGGGGTGGAGGGGGGGGCGGGGCTCAGAAGCCAAGCGAAGGGAGTTTTGAGCCGGGCACTTAGCGCAGCGGGGATTTGGCTGTTGCGGCTTCTCGCTCTTATACACAGCCCATATATTTCTTTTCTTGGAGTGCTTCCGACTGCAGTTTTCTGCCAGTTTTAATCTTCCCTCCGGAGTTGGCAAAGACTTGGGAAGGGTGTTCCAGGCATACTTCTTGATGTGGGCAACGGCTGGCGAGAGAAGAGGGTTTTTCAGTGGAAAGGCGGCGCGCGGGGCTGAGGGGTGTGTGTGTTTGTGGGGGTGTGTGTGTGAGGGGGTTCAAGGCAGTGGCACAGAGAATTTAAAGAAGGGACCTCGCCACCCCCCAACCCCGCCACCCGTCCTCGTTTTGGGACAAAATAGGAGGAAAAACCTTGATAAATTCCAACCGTGATCTAGGAAGAGGCGTTTACTTATTCTTCAGGATGTCAACTCTTTTTCTTGAAAGGGGGTGGGGTGGGGTGTGTGTGTGTGTGTGGCGGCGCCGGGCGGACAAGTGAGCAGCCAGGGTTGGTTCAAAGAACCTCCGGAATCTGCGGTCTCCACCGATTTCAAAGCTTGCAATTGGCGTCTCCAGATCGCGCCCTTCCTTTGAGAAGCTCAGGGCGGCGCACGTGGCTTTTGAGATCCAGAGCACCTTGGCCGCGCACCTGAAGATAAGAGAAGGCTGGAGGAACAATCTGGGAAGCTCCGTGGGAAACCCAAAGCCTGGCAACCTCCGTGGATTAGATACAGGACACATGTATGCAACACCCGATTGCCCTGAAGGAAAGAACGCCAAGGAGTTTGCCAGGCTTTGGAGGGAATTGCCCATCCTGTGGGTATCCCGTGGGTTTGACATGTCCGAGGGAAGCCGGGTGGGTGTGGGGAAAGCTCTCTTTTCCTTTACTGGGGATGACCTGCTCGGCCCTCCCTTTTCCCGAGTAGTGGCGGGCTGCTGGGGGGGGGGAATACTCGGTCCCACCACCACGGCCCCTCCCGTTTCTTTCCGCCTCCTGCACTTGGGGAAGGAGGCGTTGGGGGTTTGGTTGGCAGCCAACGGCCGGGCAGGCAGCTCCGATCGGGAGGACGGTTTCACGCGAAAGCCCCGCTACCTTGCCGGCCACAACACTCGGGGGGATGAAAATAACTTGAGGGATTTCTCTACACCTCGCCGAGACAAATGAGAGGCGGATTGGAGTTTCTTCGGGGAAAGTCACTTGCGTTTGAGTTTTCCTCCAAGGAAGGGCAATATTTTTGGAGTGAGATGGAGGAGGGGGAGGATCCGGAATCGATTCTTGCTTACATCACAGGTGCAAATGAAGCGTGTATTTATTGGAGCCGCCGAGGGTTTAACCAGTGTGGCGCGGGTGGAGACAGACAAAAAGAGCCGGGGTCTGGAGAGAAGCTGCTGCCCTCTTAACGCTACATCATTAAATTTATTTGCAGCAAGGCCGTTCCGCATCAATCATTCCCGACTTTTTCACCCGGCCGGGCCGAGGCTCTGGAGCTCCATTCGTCTTGTGGCCCAGAGTTCTTGCCCTTGAAATCTTTCAGGAGCCAAGGCAGGCTTTTAATATAATTAGCTCTCTCTCTTCTCTCTCTCTCTCTCTCCCACCCCTACCCCCACCCCCGTCTGACTGGGCAGAGAGGAGAGGAAACAATAGATACCAAGCATGGCAAATGCGCTTCTTTTTCTTTTCTTTTTTTTAAAGTAATGTTGCTGGCCATCTGTCAATTCGCAAGTTGTTGGTTTATTTTAAAGAGCATTGCTTTTCAAAAGTTGGTGATCGGGAAAAAAAGAATTGAAATTCGTCCCGAGGGTCAACGATAGCAAAATCGGCGCAGGCATATATAATAATGGGGTGGGGGGTGGGGGTTGAAGAAAAGGGAGGGGAGGGGGCGATATGGCGCGCAGCGTTTCAGCCCCGTGTGTCCTTCTTGACAATGAAAGCGGGCCGAATGACATTTGCATTTGCTCCCTCTGCATTTTTATTCCGTCTTCAAAGCATCATCTAAAAAGATTGCGCTCCCTCCCTCCCTCCCTCCGCCCCCACCCCCGCCAGACTTTCCAGAAACTGGCACAAAGGTTCCCCCCCGCCGGGTTTGAAGATCAGCGAAGTGGGCATCGCTTTCTAGACCTGCTAAATCAGGTGATCTCTCCAAACTCTTTGTGTCTTGGCTGTCTTTGGCCGCTTCCTTTCACTACACAAGACCCCTTTTAATTCCGGCGCTTGCGATAGGAGCCCCTCAATTCCCCCGACGAATCCCTTTGGGGACCGCTTCGTTTCCAGCCTCCCGGAATATTCAGAAGAAATACTTTGGAGTGCCAGATCCCAGGCAACGGCTCCTTTGTTAAATTTCCCCCGATTCGCCGCCTTCTTACAGCAGCCCTGCAGGATCGTTCGGGGATCTCTCCCCGCGGCGCTTCGTTCTATCTCTCCTTTCCTTTCGAAATCAGCCAGGGATGCAGGAAGAGCGCGCATTGTCTTGTTTCTGCCGTGGAAGGAAAGACCACCTTGCCCACAACGGTGTTAAAGGGAAAAGCAGGAGAGGGCTGAATCGATCAAGACTAGGCACCGAGGGGCCAGGGAGTAAATGTATGTTTCTTTCAAATTAGCATGCCCCGCTCCCAGAATAGAAAGCGCTTTCCAAACTTACTTCTTTAGTTGCGGGAAGACTATAATCTATGACATACTTCTCTCTCTCCCTCCCTCCCTCCCTCCCTCTCCCCCTCCTTCCCCCCCACTCTCTCCCTTTTCCATATACATCTTCCCTTTTCTTTGCCCATCTTTTCCTCCACACTCCCACCTCCCAGTTGGGTTTGATGATTAAAGGACAAAACTTGTACCAAAACAATCTGAAACAGCCACAAACAAGGGAGAGCTTTGCTCCTCTAAGGCACCAGTTCTTTCCATCTCCTGCAAGGCATGCCTGTGTGTCCTGTACCTTTCCCAAACCCTGTCCTTTGTATACACTTTGACATGTATTCCTGCCTTAAATCCATTCCATACCTCCTGGCTGGCAATTCTGGGAGTTGCTCCAATACAACCCATGAGCAATAGAATAGAATAGAATAGAATAGAATAGAATAGAATAGAATAGAATAGACCAGACCAGACCAGACCAGACCAGACCAGACCAGACCAGACCAGACCAGAATAGAATAGAATAGAATAGAATAGAATAGAATAGAATAGAATAGAATAGAATAGAATAGAATAGAATAGAATAGAATAGAATAGCCAAGTGTGATTGGACACACAAGGAATTTGTCTTGGTGCATATGCTCTCAGTGTACATAAAAGAAAAGATATGTTCATCAAGAATCATAAGGTACAACACTTAATGATAGTCATAGGTTACAAATAAGCAATCAGGAAACAATATCAATATAAATTGTAAAGATACCAAGCAACAAGGTTATAGTCATACAGTCATAAGTGGGAGGAGATGGGTGATAGGAACGATGAGAAGATGAATAGTAGTGCAGACTTAGTAAATAACTTGACAGTGTTGAGGGAATTATTTGTTTAGCAGAGTGATGGTGTTCGGGGGAAAAAACTGTTCTTGTGTCTAGTTGTTCTGGTGTGCAGTGCTCTATAGCAT